ATGTACCGTCATCTCGGCGTAGTTGCGCGAGTACTTGTGCAAGTACGCCGCAAGACCAAGGAACTTTCGAAGTCCCTTGACATCGACTGGCACTGGCCAGTCGGTGATCGCCTTGATCTTTTCGGGATCAGGGCGTACGCCGTGTTTCCCCACGATGCACCCAAGAAGTGGTATTTCGCTAGCCGCGAATATACACTTCTTGAGGTTGGCGTACAACTTATGCTTGCGCATAAGTTGAAGAACCTGACGAACGTGAGTTCTGTGAACTTCAACGTCCGTCTTCCCGTCCATAGCCCGGCTATGGACGAACACATCGTCGAAGTAACTCGGTGCGAAGTCTCGCACCGGTCTCAACAGATTTGTTACACATCTGTTGAATGTTGCAGGGGCATTACTCAGCCCCTGTGGCATCACTAGCCACTCCCACAGCATCCCGCTGGGGGTACTCACTGCTGTGAACGGGACGTCCCGTTCACGCATCAGGATCTGATAGAATCCATCCATCAGATCCATGGACGAAAAGATGGTACTCTTTGACATACCATCTATGATTACGTCCTTCCTCGGTATCGGCGTCTGAGCCGGTACCGTTGCAGCATTCAACTTGTTGAATGCGTGCACTATCCGCCACCCTCCTGTGGCCTTTCGCACACAGAAGGTCGGAGAGCTGTGAGGGGATGTTGATTCCCTCACATGGCCCGCTGCTAAGCGATCGGCAAAGAACTTGTCGATCGCTATCACTTGTTCACGAGGCAGTGGCCACTGCTTCATGACACAGTATTTCGAGCCCGGTTTGAGCTCGATCTCGTGTCGAGTGCCTTTGTCCTTAGGCAACTCGCAAGGTACGGATTCAGGGAACACATCCCTGAATTCGATCAAATCCTTATACAAAGGATTTGCCTGAAGTGACTCCCAGGATTGGGACGCGTATCGCTCAATCCGAGTCTTCTCATCGAGGACACTTTCGTCCATCGATGAGCTGCTGAGAACCCGTTCGTTCTCAGCAAATACTGTTGCCGACCGAATGTCGGTCACATACTCGTCCTCTGTGACGAGTACGCAGATCTGCTTGACTTTGCCACTACGCAGATCACGCAAGAACCGTTTCGGTTCTAGCGTTGGCAACTGAGTTATCTCCGAAGTCAACTTCGGAGGCACAATCAGATCAAGCGTATAAGCGCCTACGCTTGATCCGTCATTAACCAAGACGTTCAACGTCTCGGTTTCTTCCTGGGATCTTGCTTCCACAGGTTGCTGAGGGCCTGATCCCTCAGCAAGCAACTCTTGAGGAACTCCTTCCTCAAGTACGTGGGGACTTATTCCCTCGACGTCTTCCGACTGTGGCTGTGCAACCACAGTCAGGAACCGATCCTCTACGGTCGACTCTCCAGTCGACCTAGGATTTTCATGTTGCCCCTTGGGGGCAACAGATTTCTTTCTTCTAAGATGCTGCCCGCTAGGCATGCATCCATGTCCCGGTCCACTCGACTTATTCGAGTGGTGGACCTTCGGCGCAGCCTGTACTTCTGTACAGCCGCCGGGAGCTTGCTCCACAGTGTAGTGATCAACTACACTGTGACCTTGTGCAGTCGTGCTAACGACCGTACCGCAAGTGAGGCCATCGCACTCACTCGCAGAACATCCACACGCTTGTGGACGCTCCAAGATGTTCATCAGATGGCCATCTGATGAACAAGCAGCAGGCATCTTCACGGATCGATGCTGCCAGCTCACCCTTGGCTCGTATTTTCTGAGCCAAGGTAATCCCAGGATGACATCAAATTTGTCATCCAGATCTAGTACGATGAAATCATCATCGTACTGCTCGCCCTCTAACGTGTAGTGGATTCCTACTACACGTTTCTCAACGGTTATCGATGCGCCTGTTGCAAGGCGCACCGTCATCCTTGTGAGGGGAATGTCGCGCTCAACGAACTTGAGCCTACGACCCTCTAGTGACTGGCGACGAACAAAGTTGTTCGACGCCCCACAGTCTACTAGGGCACGAAGCGACAAGTCATTTGTCGCTTCCAACTTCAAGGTGATGAGCGAAACGTCATCACCAGGTGCAGAGACACACAATGATTGTGTATCTGGAGCAACTTTCGTCAAGAGGTTTGCAAATTCTCTTGAGGTTGCTGGATCAGTAGGGCGCTCCGCCCCTACTGACCCCGACCATTTTTTGATGGCCCGTCTCGCTGTTGCGGCTTCGCAACAGCGCTGGACCCACGCCCATTGCCCTTTCTGGCGAATGGTCGTCCATTTCGCTCAGTACTGTTTGGTACTGGGCGCGGAGCACTACACTCGTATGCGTAGTGCCCTAACTTCTGACAGCGATTGCACCTCTGCAATCGCTTGTTGCTTGTAGAGCGAGGTCTCTCGCTCTCAACATAACAGAGGTCCATTGGTTCTGGACCTCCGATCTCTTGTCGTCTCGGTGGACGGTAAGAGTTTGAGCTAGCATGAGCCTGTCTCATGCTAAAGTCTTCCTGTTCCGCGGCTGATATCGCTTCTTCAAGCGTATTCAGCTCAAGGCGGAACAGGTGGCTCCTGACGGGCCCTTCTGCGAGCCCTTGCATGAACACCGTAATCAACGTGTGTTCATGAACTGGGTTTGCAGTTATACTACTCGCAAGGAGTCGTATATGTTGTGCGTAAGCGTGCACATCACGCTTACCCTGCTTGAGTTTCAGGAGCTCTGAACGAGCCCTGAACTCAGCACGTGGCGGCTCAAACGTTTGTCTGAGCCGGGACTTGAAGTCATCTAGCGACCTAAACACATTTGGGTCGCTACTCTCGAGTCCCAGGGACCAAGTTTTGGCACGCCCTGCCAAGTGGGTCTGAGCAAATGTGAGTTTCATTTGCTCATCTTCGACGCGACGAGCCCTTAGGGCTCTGTCGAGTTCGACAAACCATAGTAACAGGGAGTCCTCCGGGACTCCACTGTACTTGGAGATGTCGACTTTCATCACTTCGGGACGACGCGCATGCGCCGTCCCGCCCACAGCAGCATGGAATTGCTGCTGTCTCAACAGCTCCGTCTGTTGAGCACCGAGTTCTCTCAACTGCTCGGCCTGTTGAGAGCCTTGCTGGTGAAGCAAGGCTACTTTCTCCCTCTCGAGAGCAAGTTCATTGTGAATGAACTTGGCGATAGCAGCATGTTGTTGGTCTCTGTCTAGAGACTCCAACATGGTGCTGACGACGAGTTCGCCTACGGTAGAACTCATTCGTTCTACCGCACCCCATTCGATGTCACTCAAATGGGTAAACCCTTCACGCGTGGCGTGAAAGGTGTCTTCTTCATCCAACATGTTCATGTTGGATGATGTGGTCCTTGGAAGGACTACAAAGTGCTACCAGGTGTAACGGGGCACACCCTTGCGTAACTTAACGCAAGGGATTTGGGTGCCCCGACGGACGTACACGTGGCGAGCGAGGAAGCGTAGGTAGGGTAAAAGTAGAACTGTTATATTAATAAATTAAGTCTTTAAACTACTGTCTCTTCGTTTGACTTAATTCAATTATACTAATATAACTGCATGTATGGTGACGTCTCGTCACCACTCATTGCGCGCGTCTTGCGGCGATTGGTGGGTTGATATCATCACGATATCAACCAATGAACAGACCCTTCTGGTCGACCCTTCAATATCACCGCTTCGGTGATATTGTTTAAAGAATATCCATCTTTATATTCTTTATTGTCACTTTCCTTAAGTGACAATATTATGTAACGGGCTGCCCCGTTACACATCGGAGGTGATCGGTTTGGTACCCGGCGTTTTCTGCGACTTCAGCGCCCTGTCAGCACCCGAAGCTGGATCTAGATTCCACGGGCCCTAGGCGGAGTCTCCCCCGTGATGCTCGCAGTATCGAGCCAAGCAGACTGAGCCAGCGAGGAGGAGTACGGTGTAGTCTAGGTAGAAGCACACCGGTATCGTATACTTTTCAAACACTTAATCGACGTTCAGGTTTTTCTCTAATCGTAGAATTGTCTTTGTCGTCTGGCGGACAAAAGTCGGCAGTGCGGACTATTTAATCGGATCCAAGAAAAGGAACCGCGCCGAAAGCACGATGCTACAATCAGAAGTACCGTTTTATGTCCCCATGCCGCAAAGAAGGGTGGTCCGACTGCGGGGGAAGTTGTATGAACGTATCGATAGGCCTTCAATGCATCGACTCTTGCAACTTGTGCCGCGCGCCGTTTCGTTGCCTCGTAACAATCAATGCTGTCGCAGGCCTCTGTGTGAATACAGGCAATGACCTGTTGGCTGTACAGAGCCTCCATCGGGACCGCAACCGGAGGCACGTCGGATAGACGATGCTCGTTCGAAGCTGCGAACCCGATCTCGCGACGGGCCGCGACGCGTGCGTGGCGAATAAACGGTTGCTCCGTATATGACAGAGGCAGCAATCCAACGTTACCTTCACGCGACGACGGGGATGCCGCAGTCTGTCCAAAGGGCAGAAAGCGTACAGCTATGTCCTTGGAGCTCCACTTTGCGCCGGGTAGTCGGTCTTTCAGTTGAAATTCCGGTTGGCCTTTTTCGATTGTAGACAGCTGCGGGCGCAACCAGGTGCTTGCGCTCCCACCTGCAGCGTCTGTGCACACAGATGATCGCCATCAGTGATGCGCAGCGCGTTCTTTGCCCTTTCCAGTCGTTCTCGTAACCCTCCAAACGCGTGCCTGACTCTCGATAAATGAAAAGGAACGAACTGCAGCTCGTGGCATTGTACGAAACTATCCACCCTCTCGTAGGTTATGTACAACGTGCGACCGCGTGGCACGTATCTGCATGTATAGAGCGGGCTGCGCAACGTGAGGTCGTGCAAAACATGTGGCGCTTCTCGTGAGATGTGTCGGGGCTTCCACGTCGTAGCAGAAACCGACCTTCGCGTGAAGCGTCAATCGTCGTGTCGCTGATTGTTCCTCGCAGCAAAGTAGTTTTGCTCATTGTTCGATTTGTGCATCAGGGGACACGACAACCAGCATCAAGACCATGAAGTCCGGCGCCTTCTTGTATGCCGTTTTGCTCGCAGCCGCTGCGGTGCAAACCCATGGCTCGCAATTTTCACTGAAGGCCAGTCTCGACCTTGACGGCAAATCGTCGGACGAGGAACCGTTCACGTCCCCTGAGATCCCCCACGACCACGTCCGACCAATTCCTCAGCTGAAGCCCAAGACGAAGGATCAGGAGGTGGCCATCCGATTCAAGCCGCAGATCAACTTTGTCAACGGATGCCACTCGTACCCGGCGGTGAACGAAGAGGGTGAGCATGGCGGCGGTCTCAAACCGACGGGAGCTTTTGACGGCGACTGCGAGGAACCTACATACGGGTCTCAAATCTACGGGCGTGCGACTGTGCACAAAGGCAAACTGTGCATTATATACGCTTTGTACTTCCCGAAGGAGATGTCGATTTTTGAATCCAGCCACCGTCACGAGTTTGAGCATGTTGCCGTGTGGACTGACGACCCCGAACGTGAAGAAGAGCCGGCGGTGCTGGCGGTTAGTGTGTGGACGGGCAAGCAGTACGTGGAAATGGCTCCACCTGGCCCCGAATTCATGGACGGGGACAGCGTCCAGCTCAGGTACATGAGCAGAGATTCTTCTTCTCACAAGCTCAGCTTTACCAAGAAATTTGGTAAATCTCAGCCATTGATCATGTGGGATCAACTCAAGAAGGAAACTCGCTCTGCGCTGGAAACGGTGGACTGGGGCAAGTCACAAATGCCCTTGAAAGATTCCGAGTTCATGAAGAACGTGGAAGGGTCGTGGCCTTTTGACACAGCGAAGTGATCCGGTGAACGCGATTGCCCCGACAGTGAACCGTTGGATCGGTTCGACGAGCGCGACTGACCCGAGAGCGTACGAGCGCTTTCGCTTGTGAATGCTCATGCGCTATGGGCTGCTTGGTGTATTTTCTTGCTGTAATATCATGGTAGACAAAACTCTTTGTTTCTTGGCTGGATCCCTCCCACTTTTTTCCATTGGTGATCAAGCTTTGCGTCACATGTTGATCTCGGGCCGTTGTGACGTTGTGACTCCTTCTGATGTGTCCTTGGCGGCTAATGGGAGGACATTGATCGGCAGTCCTCTTCATAGCATCACTCAACTTTGACGAAAGATGGTAAGCTTTCTACCAAGTCCTTGCCTCTTGTACATGACGAAAAAAAGGCGCAGGCAGGATAGGATCAGTCTTCGCAACAATTGACAAGAAAGCACAACATTACGAAAGCGAATGCTTCGACTTTTCTGAGCAACCGGTCGATGAGGCGCAGTATAGAACCTATAGCATCGATTGTGACGACCGTAGCACTTCATCAGTGTTGCGGCTTTTTCAGTGAGCTACCTACTTTGCGTGACCGCAAGTAATTGCACCTGCTCAACTGCAGCAGCTCTAATACGTTCTTTCCAGCTCTCTGGTACAATGCCTGCTCTTGCTGCTTCGTTCATGCGTCGTCTCAATGCTGCCGCGAGCACTGTAACGGGGCACACCCTTGCGTAACTTAACGCAAGGGATTTGGGTGCCCCGACGGACGTACACGTGGCAAGCGAGGAAGCGTAGGTAGGGTAAAAGTAGAACTGTTATATTAATAGAATTAAGTCTTTAAACTACTGTCTCTTCGTTTGACTTAATTCAATTATGCTAATATAACTGCATGTATGGTGACGTCTCGTCACCACTCATTGCGCGCGTCTTGCGGCGATTGGTGGATTGATATCATCACGATATCAACCAATGAACAGACCCTTTGGTCGACCTGTCAATATCACCACTTTGGTGATATTCTTTAAAGAATATGCATCTTTATATTCTTTATTGTCACTTTCTCTTAAAGTGACAATTTCATGTAACGGGCTGCCCCGTTACATCACCCCCCCCTTAACTGATAGTCACCGTGTGACTATCGAAATATGGAGGCCACCCGTTGGCCACCATTGGGACAGGGAGCACTTGTTGGGTCCGTTCCATTCACTTTTCGCTTGACCTCGCATAGTTAACATGTCTATGCGAGGTGACTCAAGACCCACACAGCCTGGTGCTGTGCAAGCCTCTGCGGCAGACGCTTCGTCGTCTGCCGCCCCTTCTTCGCCTGCAGCAACAGGTGCTGCAGGTGCACGCGGTATCACGCCGCGTGCGCACGATGACCCCGATGTGGAGGTCATCTGCTCTGGCGAGTCAGACGTGTCTGACTCGGGCAATGCTCCAGAGGCGTCTCGCTCACCGGCGACGCCTCAGTATTCGCCAAGACCACTGCCGAACGAACGGACTCGTGATTTGCATCACAGTCTGTTCGGCAGTGATGACGATGATCAGGGTGGTGAGTTCTATTCCTCACCACCGCCGGCTCGTGCGTCTTCGCACGAGCGTGATGACGATGGCGCGAGCCGTCGTCAATCTGGGAGCCGTGGTACCGACAAGGGTACCACTGTGAAGCGTGATGAGTTGAAGCCGTGGCGTTTGCCCGAACAACTCATCAATAGCCTGTATCACGAGACAGGCCAACACCATCGAATACCCTTATTCGATGCAACCGAGCTTCACGGCTTGAGTTCCAGCGCGAAGAACTTTCGCGCTGAAGAAGATTTTTATCTCGATGTCTTTCTTAGACATCGATGGTACAACAGCAACCAAAAGCGTGACAAAACATCGCTTTTGGCTGCGTGGAACGCGTTCGTCCAAAACGTCAAGAATTTTGGACGAGAAGGGTGGCTCAAGAAACTTGAGGCAACACGCCTCAGGTTCGAACGGCGAACGCCAACCGGTGCTAGGTACCGGTTGCATTGTTTATCTAGTGAGGCAGGCATTCCTTGCCTCACATGGGGAGACCCTTGTGCGAGTTGTGTTGACAACTCGCAGCGTGCACATAGGGATGTGTACTCCCTAAATTCGCCCTGGGGAAGGGCACACATCTCGGCTGAGATGCGTGACTCATTTGCAAACTTGCAATCCGTCTACAAGCGCCTAGGGCGCGTGTTTACCGATGGGCCACAGGACTCATCGGATGGGTCTCGTCATACTGGCGGACGAGACCTTCAACATCCATCAACAGCTGAGAGCGGGGCTCCCAGCTGTTCCAAGAGGGTGGATACCCCCGCCACTGGACGAGGTAGCTCGTCCTTGATCCTGAATCGTCACGGTGATTCAAGATACGCTCCACTAGAAAGCGTTGATCACCGTGAGCATCCACCAAAGGATGTGGTGGAGGAGGAAAGACCTCCTCCAGAACCCCAGGCCCACCATCTCGACCCTTACGAGATGGATCGCGCAATCGACGAATTACGCGATGACTTGAAGTACGAGCGCGACCGACGCTACGCTTTGACCGACAACGTGCGGAAGAACCGCAAGGGTCACGAGGCTGATCGGGCGAGGGATCGCGCCGATTATGCCACGGCGCAGCTTCAGGTCGAGCGGGATGTCCGCTCCCTATTCGGCGAGCTGGCGACATCTCGCGGGGAGATATCTCGGTTGAATACCGAGGTATCATATCTGCGCGACCAGACAGATCGTCTGGAGCGCGAACGCAAGAACTTGATGGATGTTCTTGAACGTGGGGGCTATCTTCATCGAAAGAAGAGGCTTGTACTGACAGTACGACCTAACCCTCCCCACGTAAAACGTAGGATGCGTGCGCATCCCACGTGGCAATTCGAGTGTGTATGCATTGCCCTTGCGATGCAACACTCGAAATGGCCCAATGTATTTCGGCAGTAGTTTACTACTGCCGACACTAGTGTCTGCATGTCCAGGTAGGTTTACCGTTGACAGTAGTACTAGGTCGTTAACTTAAAATGAAAGAACATTTTCTCTTCCATTCTTGTCTGCGTTCCGTTTCTGACGGTCCACCGCATTTGCGATGGAGTCCTGAACGAAACGGACTACCGCTTCTCGAGTCAGCAGGAAGTTCTCTGCTGACTCTTTGTTTTGTCTGGCAGTGCGCTTCGTGCGCACTGCTAAGAGATTCTTCTCTTCTTCAGCGAGGTTGTCTTCTTCCTCGCTGGACATAATCGTTGACGATGCTGAATATACCAGCATCGTCATCATCATCCGAGTCAGTAATAGCGTCGCCACTATTATTGAGATGATCTTCTTCATCAATGTCGACCTGATCGACATCGGCATCATACGTGACGACGTTAGCGTCGACACGTAATGAGCAAGAGCCAAAACGATTTTTGCTCGAGCGAGTCCCTCCCCCCCCTTATCCAAGAGTCACACTCTATAAGGGTGGGCACTCGTGGATGGCGTAGGCCATTCACGTAAAACGGTGTGTGCTGTGTTGAGGCATGCACCGAATTATTGATGGCGAATTCCACCATGGGTAGGAATTCGCTCCAACTCGGAAACGAGTGGACATATCTTCGAAGAATCTCTTCGAGGACACGGTTCGCACGTTCCGTCTGACCATCTGTTTCTGGATGGTCAGAAGTGGACATCTTCAATCGTGTTCCGAGAGTACGGAACACGGTTTGCCAAAATTCCGCCGTGAACCGAGGGTCACGGTCGGATACGAGTTCACGGGGTAACCCGTGGAGTCTAGAAGACCGTGTCGATGAAAGACACGAGCACAACCTCTGAGCCTTGATCGACTCAGGGACAGCAGCAAGATGGACCATCTTGCTGAATCGGTCAACAAACACAAGAATACCATTATTCTTGTGAGCGTCTTCGGGAAACCCGAAGACGAAGTCCATTGAAACGGACTGCCAGCACTCTGTCGGAACAGGCAGAAGCTGCAATGGCGCACGGGATGAAGGACTAGGCTTCACCCGTTGACAAACTTCGCAAGCACGTATGTCCTTGCGAACAAACTGATACTGGCGGGGCCAGTAAAAGTCGCGACTTACCGTGAGGTAAGCTTTTCTCTACCACGATGGCCGCTTGTTGGGGCATCGTGACACTCATACATGATGTGCAAACGCAAATCATGATGAGCGGGTACGACGACACGAGGCGTGTCGTCGGCAACAGCTGTATAGTACAGCAATCCGTTGCGTGTACTATACCGATCCGATGAGGATCGGTACAAAGCCGGTAAATCCCTCATGGATTTACTGGATGGATTCACCAGATGATCCATCAATGGCAGAAGATCCTTATCTTCCGCGTATGCCTTTCGTACGTCGTCAAGTAAACTTGACGACGGGACACTGACTGACAGTGTCGCAACAGTGGGCTTATCCTCACTGTTGGATTGTGCGTCCGGCTCGAAATCGGGCCGGCGCGAAAGAGCATCCGCGACGACATTGAGTCGTCCCGGTTTATACTCCACGGAGAATTTATACTCCGCGAAGAAAGACAGCCACCTCGCCATTCTCTGCGAGGGGTGTGGGCTGTTCACGGCCGTGCGTAATGACGCATGGTCCGTGTAGACAACAAACGGTCTATCTCCCAAGAGATAGACGCGAAACTTAGCCAGTGCGTATTTCATGGCAAGGAGTTCCTTGTCATGCACTGGGTAATTACGCTCAGATGCTTTCAGCTGACGCGACTGATAACAGATGACGCGCTCCGCGCCATCTGCATCGAACTGTATTAACGCACAGCCGATCGCAAAATCGCTGGCGTCACAGACCACATGTAATGGTCTGTCCTGATCTGCAATCGCCAAGATCGGCGATTGCATCAAGCTTTGCTTGATACCTTCAAAGGAACGCTGGCACTCAGCGTTCCACGCACCACTTGACATTTTTCTTGAGCAAGCAAGAAAGATGAACAGTCATCTCGGCGTAGTTGCGCGAGTACTTGTGCAAGTACGCCGCAAGACCAAGGAACTTCCTTAGTCCCTTGA